GTTTGGGCGGTGAGCGACACTGCTACCAGATGACAGTGGGAATCCCAACATCCCACATTTTCTTTCCACACTCGAACATACACACACCCTCTCATATTCTGTCCGTCTTTCTCTCTGGCTCCGTTTTTGTTTCTCTTCCTCTATGGTGTCTACCTTTCCATTGGCTCTGCCTTGTGCAAGAGTGTGTATTTTTATGTCTCACATTAGCTAGGGGGAATAATACCTCTCACTGAATGGTAGTCTGCTCTGGGGCCTTTTCAGACATTCAGTCACTCTTCTTCTAAGAATAACCAATGTACGTCTTTGCCAGAAAGTTCCTCTTTTTCGTGATTGCTGTTTTTGTGCCTCATTCGCTGATACCGGGGCTTTGTATTAGTTAGCAAACTGTGATCCAAATGAGAAAAGCAGCATTGGGAGACTGGGAGAAAAGACAAAAGGAGTCAGGATCTGGGGCAAAACTTGGACCTGTGTCAACTCTTCTCAAACTCATTAAGAGGCCAGAAAAGCTAGTCACTAGAGAATCTCAGGAGTGAGGCAGCAGCCAGTTAGGTATGTAAAAGCGAGAGTAAAAAATGATAGCTTTTGATCGGGTTTCAGGGGAACCTTTCATGTACAGTCTGGAGAATTGTAGCCAAACTGTCTGACAGGTCACCTTTACCAAATGCCATTTACATTGGCAGAGACAGAGTTCTTTCTAAATTGTAAGTGGCTGTTGTAGACTGTGGTGAACTCAAAGAGAAGTATCGACTGTACTGTACAAGACCAAATGTTCTTACTCAAGTTTTGTTAAGAAGTTAAAACTGTGGGGAAGATACTGCATGTAAGCATTAGTAGCTCAAATGTTGTGTATAGTTAAATTAAAGGAATAGTCCAACACTTCTTAGTTGAGACTCAGATTGAAATATTCTTGTGTACACTTGAAGGCATTACATGACAAATAATGACACAAAAATGCGAAATACTTGAAAATATGACATGTCCATAGGCCTTTTATTTAAGAAGACACAGAACCATTGGATCAAGTATACACTGCTTATATGAGGGTTGAAATGAGTAATACAGTTTGATGCCTTGGTTGGGACCACGGAGCCTGCAGGTTTTTGTTTTTATAATGCATATAAATATAGGCTCAACTCAAGCCGTTCCGCAAAACTTGATTTGTTGAGGCCTTTATTCGAAAAATTGACCTCATTCTGTTGCTCTTATGCTGCTCAACATTCAAATGATGTGTGAAAGTAATCATTACAAAAACAACAGTTTGAAAAAATGTATTGGTGTGCAAATGTATCTCAGGAAAGAAACGCTACAGTCAGTTAGCTTAGCATAACGATTGGAAACATTTGGGAAACTGCTAACAGGCCATGGGTAAACTCACGTTTTTTTAAAACTCACTAGTTAACTTGTTATACCTCGTTTCTTTAATTCATACAAATTATACTCTTTGTGGTTATGAACATTTCTGACACTTTCTTAGCTGGGTGCAGTGAGTGCTTAGATTCACTGTTATATTTGTGCGAGACAAATGAGATGGGATCAATGGTAAATGGACTGTACTTATATAGCGCTTTATCAGGTCTTTACGACCCCTCGAAGCGAAGTCATTCATACAGAGCAGTGCCAATTGCTCTTGGATAATAACATTCACACACATTCATTCACCATTGGCCATGCCATTGGGAGCCACTCAGGGTTAAGTATCTTGCCCAAGGATACTTTGACATGTTGACTGCACTCTCAGCAAGAAAGCAAATAAGCGTTGTCTGAAATGTCCACTTTAAGACGTAAAAATCCAAAAAGGTATGTCAAAATTCTGTGTCAGTACAAGTGGCACCCTGTAAACAACAAATATTGCTAAGAAAAAATGATTTAACAGAACTATAAATTAACAAACGGATGTTATTCTTAAGGCTGCTTACTGACAAACGCTGACTGTTCTGTGCAAATCTAGTCTAAAACAAGAACTGATTAAAATGCTTAGGTAGACAGGTTTTCATCTTCACACAGCTATTGCAATAAAATCCTATAGATTTTTCTTTCTTTTCTTTTCTTTCTGGCTGTCACTATATTAATGAACATGTGGGAAAGACAGCTTCATAGCAATCATAGGACTTTTGTCTCTGTCTGGTCTTAACTGACCCAAGGCCATGACAAGAGTATGAAGTAGGCTAAGAATCTCAGAGAGAACATACATTTTGAAATGAAGTAGTGTCATGCTCTCTGCATAGACTCAGCTATGTGCTTGAAGAAGGCATGTTGACCGATATAAACAATGGAGAGGAGGGGTTTCATGTTTTTATCTGAAGGAATTTGGATTTGCTTTAGAAAATAAAAATACATTATTTCTCTCTAAAATAATGTATTGTAATGTATGTATATATAATGTTGGGTTATGAACAGTTGATTGTTACAAAACATAAAAAGAGACCTTCCATCTCTCCAGGTTTCCTCTTCCTAATCGAATTTTCTTTAAATGATTTGTGACAGAACTGATCCGTAGGTCAAACATGATGCGTCATTGTGTGGTCTTCATAAAAAGTGAATCACTTTCATTATCATGCATGTGGATATTAGCTTTAAGATGTGTGATCATTGCTTCATATGGGGTCAAACTATAAGAGAACAAAGAGCTGAATTGTTCCAGGTGGCAAAATGACTTGTTACAGTGTCCCGCTGGAACTAATAAGGCAGGTCCATTTTCACCCTCTAAATCCCCTGCATTGGCTGAAATGACTGATTTACAGCTAAGACATGGACCAAATTATAACAATTATATACTATATGTTATACTCCACTCTTGTACAGCTGTGCTCTGGAAAAGGTGCAAAGGTTTCCGACCATCCAGAGAAAGCCGGCCTGTTTTATGAGAACAATCACAGGTCAACGTCAAGAAACTGTATTCTTTCTCAAATAATCTGATTTGAGGCTTGAATTCAGTTACTGCAGAGTGGCTCTTCTATCCGACTCAAATCGTGTACATATGATCTTGTTGCCTAAAGTTTTGATGTGTCCCTGGCCCTACAGTCACAGTTTTTTCATGCATATGAAAGACATGGTGAATGATTTCATAAGCATAAACCAGAATAGTAGAGGTGGAATACAGTGGGGATCAATATAAGATGTTCCATCCATTAGTCATACATATATAACTGGTTTATGACAGAACTTTAGCATCTTTGAGTAACACATAATCTGGATAAGAGCTTTAATTATTATTCAATCGATTAACTTGGACTATTTTGATAGTCAATTCATCGTTTAAAGTAAATATTTGTGAATTAAAAAAGCAGAAAATAGTGTTTTCAGCCCCTCAAATGTTAAGATGTCCTCCTTATCTGTTTTATTTCATTTTAAACTGAATATCTTTGGGTTTTGGAGTTTCACATATATTTAAAGACATTGAGAAACAGGGATGGACATTTTCCACTATTAGCTGACACTTTATAGACCAAATAGATTGATTACTCTAGAAAACAATTGGCCAATTAATTGATAATTAGAATAACCAAAGCCCTCATTAACTGAAGTTATACAACCAGTACTTCAAAGGCAGTACTTCATCTATTTTATTAGCAGTGAGAGTGTAGATCAAACCTATAATTCATTCAGAGAATGAAGCTACTTCAAAATCTTCATTTATAATTAATGTCTGCTTGTGTTTGATCAAAAAAAGTGTCAACACAATTGATCAATGTAGTTTGTGACAGGCCAGAGTTCATAGTATAACTTGTAAAGAATAATCACCTTATAATTGCATGATATAGTGCAGTATGTCTTGCTGTGAAAGTAAAGCAGACCTAGGCCAGAGACACTTTTGAAAATCAACCCAGGTTTGTAAAAAGTTATGGAAGAGTGACTGCAAGCAGGAGAACATTTGTATCCAAGGCGAAGGCTTTAGATGTTATGTGAAAACCATTCTGTGTCATGTGTTCACATGGAATACATATTACTTACATATGTAGGATGAAAAAGTACATCAAGGTCCGTCCTGAGGGACCACCAAACAACCTCTAACCTGCAGCCAGGGAATAAGTTAATGTAACTGTAGATTTTCTTAAGTACATGCCAGGGAATTTTTCCATGTGTACATGTCTGCTTATAGACGTACACTGTGATTTAACATGGATGAAGATACATGGCATGTGCATGATTTAGATGAATGTGTATAATTGTGAATACATTCAACATTTGGAAGAAGCCGAAAGTAGATTTTAAATGTGTTTGTGTGTTGGTATCTTTTCTCTTGATATGTCTTTTTTTTTTTTATATATATAAAATTGGAAGTTGTCATATGTTCATATTATTGAAAAATATACATTCAGCTCATTGGTGAATTCTGTGCTTGTGGATTTGTGCGCAAATACGTGCAGGCAAAGCGTTTTAATAAGTATTCAGTTTCAAATTGGCTCCAGCTCGGACGCTCCGCCTGCTCTCGCAGAGGATATTGACTTTCCCGCAAGTTAAAGTATTTAAATGTAGAGGGAGACAGATGCTGTATGTGGACTAGAGGCGACCACAAGAAACACACGTGTGGGAAGAAGGTTGACGTTCGAGTTTTTTTCACTATCCGTGCATCTTATAGAGGGACAGCTGTAACACAATTAGCTGCAACTGCACAGCAGATCATTAAAGCCTTGTTGGTACTTGTGGGATGCATTGAACATTTTTAATGTAACCGCTTGTTTTAAGGAAACTCAGGGCGCGCATCTGACCGCTGATGCGTAAAGATCCGTGCGTAAAACTACAAATAATCGCCACTGCTCTGCCATTGAATGTCAGAGAGGATTTATTTCGACTTGATACCTTAATCAAGAGCTTCTTTACTGAAAACAAGTGATTGACACGGAGAGGATTTAATGGAGGTGGCTCGGTGACAGCGACACTTCTCCGGACTTTCAGTTTGGATTGGAACCGAGGCGCATTTAAATCTTCTGGACTTTATTCATATTTCACTAGAGAGGAGAGGGGATCCTGTATCCTGCATGGGACGTTGACAGTTTTTGGATCTCTTAATTGTCCCGGTTATCATCTTCTATGTGTCACAAGAGGGGGATAAAAACGGACCTGAAATCCCCACCAGGAGGAACTTTATTTCCGAGAGCTCCCAGCACCGAATCTGTGGAGTATTCATGAAGCAATATTTGAACTATTACAAGATGAGGCTGAGAACATCGAGGTTAGGTTATCTGTAAGTAAACATTTGCCATCATATTGTAATTGTAACTTCATTTAAATTTGAACATAAAGTCTAATATTCTAATTGCTTTTTCTTTTCCCAGGTTACTTCAGTTCACGGCGCTTTGCTTTTACGCACAGGTAACTCAAATTTGCACTTCAATAAAAAATCATTAATGTTGCGTGAAGTTTTATAATTAAGTAGATAACAGTTAACACAGGTATGCAGGCGCCGCACTTTAGCGTCTCTACATCTGCAATAGGCTGCAATAACAATGAAAACATTTTATTATGAGTGCTATGGCAATTGGCAACAATTCAAACATCTTGAAAAGAGGTAAGCTCTGGCCCATAAAGTAATTGTTAAAACATATGTGGATGGAGAAGGGCTGAAAGGAGAAAAAAAGAAGTCAAGAAGGGGTGAAAGATCATCGGTGGTAAAAACAACCTATCAGAGGGAATTGTCATCCCCGAGGGTCCATGAAAGCATCTCGAAAAGGAAGATAGACCTACATGTCCATGTACAAATAGGCCTACATGAAAGAAGAAAAAAGAAGGAGGCATTATTTTAAATGTGATGAATGACATAATGAACTGTGGGCCTGGGACTCGGCTTTTTGACTGGCAAGCTTTAGTCTCCTCACTCATAGTTGACTTTTTTCCCGAGTTGTTAAGTAAAAAACATTAAAAAGTAATTTTACATGTAGTGACATGTGTTTTCTATTGTTCGACAGAACACTGTGCAGTCCCCACCTAATTTCAAGCACCATGTCACCGAGCAGAGCCGGCTGTCGGACCGGATGAGTCGCAGGTTGACCCGAACCTACCAGCTGTACAGCCGAACCAGCGGGAAACACGTCCAGGTCCTGGCCAACAAGAGGGTCAACGCCAACGGAGACGACGGAGCGGTGCACGGTAAGAAAAAAGACTAATGTATATTAGAAACTATTAAAAGAGATAATAATACAACAACAAATTACAAAAAACACAATTCAGTGTCTATTTAAAGATGTTACGTTTTAGTAATAGGCAGGACATGGACAGTGAATTTGCGAGAGAAGTTTTCAAAATATCGCGAGAACAATAATATTTAGCTTTAAGCATTATAGCCTAGCAAAACTCTTACCTTAAGTGGCGAACAAATACATATTCAAACATCTCTTATGCCAATTATATAAAGCTAAAAAAAAATGTCACACGTTTCTTTCTTTTAAATGTGAGATCTTTTTTGCTGTCTTTACAATGATGCAGAAACTTTACTTGAAGCCCCGGTGTGTCACAGCGAGATTAACAAAACCGTTGACAGCTAAACGCCATCTTTTGTTACATTTCAATTATTTTAAACCTCAGAAAAGCAATAAAAAAAGTGAACGTGTTCACATTACAAACACGGGAATAGTTTAAATGCAATGGTGCGCGGGGTGTTGTTGAAAATAAGTATAAATTATGTCGTTCTTGGCAGGCTGCTGGAAAATGTTAGAGCCAGGAGAAACCGTTTGCAATTGTAAACATCGTTAGTGGCATTAGTGTTGCAACCTTTTAAAGCCTTTGAAGATGATATATATATATATATGATATATAGGCCTACATTGTTGTGTGTTTGGCAGTCTATAAAGTCCTCGGTACATCTACATGTAACGATGGACTTAAGTTTGCTTCAAGCAGAACAACTAGCTTAAACCTAAAGGGACTAGAAATCTTGTCACCAAAGGAGTTTGGTGTGTCTAGCCATCTTTCCACCCCAGCCACCACCAAGATCCATCCCCTTCTCTATGCCTGCTGCCTGGTTTCTGGAGGTTCATTTTATGAGGAATTTTCATTGCTTTACAACTCAATGTATGACTCAATTTATTAGGAGCGGTGAAGTCAGCATCTTCACTTTATACCTTTTCCTCTCCTTGCCTCTCCTGTGTGCTCTTTTGTCTTTTAAACCTTTCAGCACACACACACACACACACACACACACACACACACACACACACACACACACACACACACACACACACACACACACACACACACACACACACACACACACACACACACACACACACACACACACACACACACACACACACACACACACACACACACACACACACACACACACACACACACACACACACACACACACACACACACACACACACACACACACAGAGAGAGTCAGTCATGCACACATTGGCTGCACATCCTAAGTGGGTGTCACTTTTGTAAGTGGCCCAAATCTGACCGCTGCTCTGTGCTTGTGGCTGTGTCCCTGACCGCAGTATTCTCACTCTCCTTTCTCCACAGTCTGAGCTGCATCACAGCACAGCATTTACTGACGTTCGACAACAATCGCCCCGTGCGAAATAACTATCATTTGGTGCTTTTTTGGCAGGCTTACATGCTTTGTTAAAGGTGGCTACTGGACCATAAAAGGGTAAAGAGAGGGAATTTATATGTCATCTTCATGATACTGGTTCACTGCTCCTGAAAAACCATTAAGTGTTGACATTAAATGTTGAAGTGATGTAATTCCAGTTCATTACAGTACCCACCGTACATAAAGAATTCATTTGTCTCACACACCGTAACATCATTATCTGCATGCCTGCACCATGTCAGGACTGTGTCATCTCATTAGTTGTGATGTGTTTGTCTGCGCAGCTAAACTGGAAGTGGAGACGGACTCTTTTGGAAGTCGTGTTCGCATCAAAGGGGTGAAGACGGGATACTACATATGCATGAACAAGAGGGGGAAGCTGATCGGCAAGGTAATCTGGAATTCATAGTTTGTGTGGCTGAATATGGCTACAGCAACACCTTGAAGTATGTTTTGTTTCTTAGACATTTCCAGATTTGCAGCTTATGGCAACACATTGTTGAGAAGCATTCAAAAGCCAGAACAAATTGGATTTTGAGTTTTTCTTAACAGCCCTCTCATGGTTTCAAAGAGTATTTGATTGTCTGGAAATAAAGACGATTTTCTCATTCTGGATGTGTTCCAACATACCTCAACTTCTCTCCCCCGTCTTTTTTCTCTCTCAGCGGAAAGGACGAGGCAAGGACTGCATCTTCACCGAGATTGTTCTGGAAAACAACTACACGGCGCTGCAGAACGCCAAGTACGAGGGCTGGTACATGGCTTTCACACGCAAGGGCCGTCCGAGGAAGGCCTCCAAGACCAAGCAGCACCAGAGGGAGGCCCACTTCATGAAGCGTCTACCCAGGGGCCACTTGCTCAGCGAAAGGAGGCCGTTTGATGACCTTCCTCTCCGTGTCCCTGCGAACCCTTTAGGCAAGCGGACTAAGCATTCGCATCACCAGCGCTCAGGGGGCCGCTGAGGACTGAAACCACTGAGGGACGAACCCGCACAAAAGAACCACTACAAGGGGAAAAAGAAGTGCTCCCAGAGAAATTAACTTTTACAGTCAAGTGCCCATACACTTTTTGCCTCATTTTGTGGACTTTGTGTAATTCTTTGTACTGGATTGTATGTAACCATTGACTATCTAATCTGTTAGTTATTTCCAATGCAGACAGATTTTAGGACAGATTTTTACTTATAAAATCAATGGGCAGGAAAGGTACCGAAGTGCTCAACAATATTGTCTTGAATGAAAACCTCTGGTTAGAAGTAAAACCAGCTCAGCAACAAAGAATGTTTTAAAAGAGAAATTAGTACAATGAAGCTAGACACGGCAGCTATCTGTGGATTTACTTGTGGTTATAGCATCTGAGTCTCAGTCGACATGCTATCCTGCCTTAAGGAGGCCATTCTGGAGAATCTTTAACCTGTTTTTTTTTTCTACATATATGAATATATTTTTACTGTAAAAATGTAAATGACGTCAAATGATGGAAATATTTATTGTAGAGTGTATATTAAAACCACTAAAGAATCAATTCACAAGCTGTGCTGCTTTTCTCTTGAGTGTTTTGGGATGGAAAGCATAAGTTGTTGGTTGCCCCCCCGAAAAAACTGTTGTTTCTTCTTCTTCTTCTTCTTCAAGCTAGAGACCCAGATAACTGAGGGGCAATATCTGTGACAGGCTACTGAATTCAATGTGCTCAGCAAGTGAGACTTGGGCCTGAATGGCCCGAGCTATGCATTAAAAGCGATGAGGTCAGCCCACCATTTTGGCCCAAACAAAGGTTACCACCATGTAGTTGCATTTCTCACGATCGCACACCGTAACCCTCTGATCAAATGGGCCCTTTGTGAAACCTCATATAAAAGGGCATGTTATACAATAGTGGGTTCGAATAATAACACGAGGAGGGGTCAGTTATCAAAAAGAAGCCAGTCACACAGGGAGGGGTTGAAGGGGGGGGGGGGGGGGGGTTGCGGAGAGGGAGTTGAAGGGTTGCAGCAAAAGCATCGGGGCCTGTGTGGCAAAATGTGGCATCGGCTGAAAGAGGGGGAATGGCTGGGAAGAGGCATTCGGCAATGAAAGGGAGGCAGAAAAGAAACCCTCTTCCCAGAAGCAGTTGAGCATGACCATCAGAGGCCAAACGACAGGGGAGGAAGAAGACCCCGAACACAGGGACCCGGCTGCTTTCACAGTGCATGAGCTGGATGTCCAATTTGTTAGTTGGTGTTTGTTGCTGCAGGAATTTGTTTTGACAGCAGTTCAAGCTCCCAAAACTAAAGCATTGAAGTACATAACTAAACTTCTGAATGAATGCTTGCTATTTATCCGCACAAAGTAGTATCAACACAGCACCTATTTTAAAAGAGAACAAACGAATCAAGTATGCATTTCTTTTTCTAAAATTAGATCCCTCAAAGGAATTTGCAAAACAACAAGACAGGCTATGTTTTTTTTGTACTCTTGTTCTTTCCATCTGGAAGAAGACAAAGCACTAGTGAGAGACCTGTGGTTTTGTCTCTGCTTTTTGCACTTGCTCTCTGGGTTTGGACAAGTGGTAAAAAAAATGCTAGGAATCACACGGTTGAAACAAGCTATACTTAAATGCTATTGTCTCTTTTGAACAGCTCTGCAAAAAATTGTATCCACTGTCTAAGTATTTTTTGACTGGACAGTGTTTGTCTGGTCCACTGAAATAAGTAAACAAATCAAAAAATATTCTATCTGAAGGATTTGTTATCTTTGGTACATGCTGTATTATAAATAGCAATAAAAAAAATCCAAAAAGCTTGTAATGCCGTGTTTATATTTGTTAGTAATATCAAATTTGATGGAACAAAGCCCTGCAACATTCCTAACTTTTGTGCATGTAGTTTGAGCTGCAGACCACAGAGTCAGAGTGACCCTCTGTTGTAAAGGGGGAACAGTAACACAAGCTCGCTCTCTGACCAGACTTTCAGTAATGGCTTTCAGGGTGGGCTACTACATGCAAAGAACATGAGGGTATTCAGTTAACACAAATGGGATGTGCTGGTAACGGTGACCCCAGAACGAACAGGGATGAGGCATTGTGTGTTTTACAAGGACATCAATGAAAGGAGGATGGTAGGTTATGTGATCCTCATCAAACTTGCTCCCTAGTAGTTTTGGTAACGAGAAGCGAAAAAAATAGACACTGTTGTGATACAATTTTTTATGTAAATTATTTTTTGCAAAAAGAATAATTAGAGAAAACACTTATGGTTCACCTAGAAAAGGTAATACATCTAGTTGTGAGGGTTTGAAACACCAATATCTGGAATGTCTGTATCAAATATATCCAGAAGGAGAAAATGTTAACATTGAAAACTGTAATAAATGAATCCCAATTAGGAACAGATTGACAAGGCACTGTGCAAATGCTTTCTTAATGAAGGGATCCGAGTAGAAGGAATAAATAAACGTGGGCTCACATGTGACTTGAACATGACGCAGTGAGGTTCTGCTTTAAATTCAACGCAGAATTTATCCCCTCGCTCCCACAGTCCGAATTCACTGAGTTTTGCAGTCCACATCCCCTTCGTCGGTCCCCTTCAGTTTCTTCAGCTCCTTCAGTAGCTCCTGTTCCAGGGTTAAGATCTCCTTGGGTTTCTTGTACTGGACGAGAGAGAAGAAAAAATAAATTACTTAAACATTCGCTCCATTTCCCTCCTGCAAATCCTTCACTGTAAATCTTTTTGCAAGAGCCTGCAAAACATAAAGAAATCATAAACAAAGAAAATATTTATGTCAAAAACTTCAGTTATTGATGTTCCAAGGGAAGGCTTGAGTTTAAAAATTGGTATCAAATACTGTATAATTCCATAAAAAGCTTTAAATAAAACACAATTAAACTTTTGCAAATTACTGCTGAGAATAAAATAATTGGTTCCCTGCACTCAAGATTTTAGGTCAGAATAATAAGAATCAACCTTTAGTTCTTACATCTTTACATTTAAAGCAATTGGTAACACAACATTATTGGTAAAGATTCATGTATTTGTGATTGTTGTGTAGAACTTACGCTGATAATTAAAGTGTTGTTTGCGTGAGAGAAGTTGAGGGCAGAGTTATCCAATGGCAGCTCATTGCGATCCAAATCAGGAATATTGAACTTCTTATAATACCTGGGGAGATATAGAGAGGATGTCAAAGGTTTATCACGCTCCCGTGTAAACAAATGCATTGTAAACAGTGCCATCTATAGGGAGGATACGAGGATTACATGCAACAAGTGTACAACACAGGAATTATAAGAACATATAGAATGGGAAACCCAGTGTTTTCACTTTTTGTTTGACGTTTTAACGACGATGCATCGGTCAGACGGCTCTGCAGAAACACTGAAAACATCTTTAGGGAAGGGAAGGTTGCGGATTCTCCACTGAAAGCTGTTCTTTGTGTCTTTACGCATTAGCACAGGCTGTGGAAACAGAAACATTCAAATCCATGTTGCAGACATGACATTCACTAGTGTTTTCTCTTGAAAGATTAAAGAGAACTTATAAAGTAAAGAAGGAAGAGGATTAACTGTAGAAGAAAGAAAACCTACGTTGGAGCAGTTCTCCTTGATCACCTCCGAATCCAAAGAAGTGTCAGGGCCCGCTAGAGGCTCCCCGACCTCCACCTGCCATGGGCTCTGATCTCCGAGTGTACTTTTATGGCGCCACTTTCGTACTGTAAAGAACCGAAAGTTTTTATAACATACATAAACTTATGCCATTAAAAACCAGAAGGGCAGTAGCTACATGCTTCTGTTCAAAACTCAAGATGTATTTCTCACCAATGAGCTCATCTGTTTTCAAGTCGTACTCTTCTGACATTTCTTTTCCATCTGTAAAGAGGTAGTGGATTTTCCTTTTGCCTGGAGGCGGAATTTGAAACGATTTTTCATATAAAATTACCATTTAACAACAAAACAAAACACACCAGAATACTATAATGTTAGTTTAGCACAACCTATACAACTACAGTCTGTACTAACACAACATCACATGGCATTATTGGTTAATTTTGTATAGCTGTAAAAAAACAACAACATGGATGAATAAAAGGTACTTCAGGGAGTAATGTAAAGCGAGCAGAGATGCTAACAGGAAGCAGGACCAGACTCAAAATTAGCTAGATGCTAAAAGTAGAAATGCATAACTTCTCTCTACAGGCACTTAGAAAAGCGAGTCAAAGTGTACTTCTTTAGTCAGACACAACTTTTTCTGAAATGTTGCTACATGCTCCTGGCGAAGAGCTTAATAAATTGTCAAAACATATTTTACAGCATGAGTTTAACGGTCTATTTCTGTTAACAACATGTGTAATCTGCTACAAGGCTAGTTGTGCCACCTGGTTGTCGCAAAGTGACATTGTTGTTAGCTTGAGAGCTAGCTAGCAGACTAAGTTCATGAAAATGAATAAAGATAAGCAAAAATATAGCAATGTTGGCAAAAGCATATCTAACACTTGTGTAGCGTCGTTTTCTTTTGAAGTCCCTCACCATCGCTTATTAAAGCTGTTTTCTTTGATGATTTCAGGATATCAGTCCAGTTTTGCACAGCCATGTTTCTAAAGAGGTTTCTCGTGCAAAGGGCCACTTCCGGACACGACCCGTAAGTTACGGGTCGTAACCACAGCAACTGATAAACTAAAGACGTAAACGAGAAATTGTATTCAACTATATAAAATAATTTAATTCAACTGTTTAGTGGTAAAAGTAATTTTAAAAATCCATGGTGTAATATAAAGACATCAAAGCATTATTGAAATAGATTAAAAAATATATATATTCGTAAATGACCCGGAAGTGAAGCAATTGATTTGGCTGTTGTTCTGTTCGTATGGTTCCATCTGACAATGGGTAAGAGCCCAAATATTAGTTTTTAAAAGCGTTTTGGAAATAAAAGTACAGTTGTATTTTGTATGTATTGTAGTGAATTAAACATTGAGTAAAAATAACAGTTTAAACAGTTTTAATATCGATTGTTTAGGGTTAGAGCCCGATAGCACAAGCTAAAGAAAGTTAGCTAACACGATTTTATCGTTAAAAAAAATCTCGTGAGACATTATATTGTTATCACAGATTGATAATTAAGCCTTTTGTATTAACTGCTGTGTCAGCTAGCTGGATATCTGTACTGAGTACAAGCTAAAACTGATCCCACTGTTTTCTATTCCAGTGTGTTTAAATCATAGACTGTATATGGTTTAAATCAATATATAATGTTGACAATGCAGAGCAATGTTATGCAACAAGTGTACAAGAAGTGTACTGTTCTGTCATAGATAAATGAAAGTAATTCGAGATCAACAGGCATCAATGAAAAGGCAGTCCTGCAATAGCATTTACTCATTCATTTACTTAAGTACTTCAAACACATTTAAGGACCTACTAATGCGATTTTAAAATTATATATATTACTTTGAAGATGAATACTTTCATGCTTTCAACATAACTGATCATGTTAATAATTACAACGTTTTGTTAATATAAATGTAACTACTCCACCGACTCCAGACAAAATTACTTCCACAATGACCAGATTTAACATAAAATGCTGCACATACATTTATGGATGTATTGTAGTATTACATAATTTAACATTAACAGGTGGCAATCAGTCTGCATACACAGTCTGCATATACCTTTGCTACCTAGTTAATTAAGATGAAGATAAATGTGCTTAGTACATTTAGATTAGGATACTTGCATTACTTCATTATGTAAATAAGAATGCACTACATTTTAATATAGCATTCTTCCAGTGTAACATCGCTACTGTCAAATAGTAAAAACTATGGCATAAGTATCACACATTTAGCAGGCAAAAGGAGCGTTTTGCAAAGGTTTAATACTTGTATTCAGTCAATATTTCAATGTGTAACTACTGCCAACTCAGACATAGTTAAAATGGTTGCTCTTTATGGTATCACACAGACATTATTATAGGTTTGTGGATGAATTTTACTGAACGAAATTCTAAATAATAAATAAATACATCTGTTTACCATTTCACAGGCCTCTGGCACCCCTCCTTCAAGAGACACAATGGAGCCTCGTCACGGTATTATGAAAGCCTTTCCCAAAGTTAAAAGAGCCCGAGTGTTACAGGGAAAGGATGCTCCCCCAGTGAAGAAGAAACCTGAAGAACATGATGTCAAAGGTTATTTGTGTGTGTGTGTGTGTGTGTGTGTGTGTGTGTGTGTGTGTGTGTGTGTGTGTGTGTGTGTGTGTGTGTGTGTGTGTGTGTGTGTGTGTGTGTGTGTGTGTGTGTGTGTGTGTGTGTGTGTGTGTGTGTGTGTGTGTGTGTGTGTGTGTGTGTGTGTGTGTGTGTGTGTGTGTGTGTGTGTGTGTGTGTGTGTGTGTGTGTGTGTGTGTGTGTGTGTGTGTGTGTGTGTGTGTGTGTGTGTGTGTGTGTGTGTGTGTGTGTGTGTGTGTGTGTGTGTGTGTGTGTGTGTGTGTGTGTGTGTGTGTGTGTGTGTGTGATCACGGATGTATTAGGAGACGAAACCTCAAAGTTGAAGCCAAAAAAACATATTCAACATATTCCCTCTTTGAAACATGTTCCTCTTTCTGTCCCAGGAAACAGTTTTAAAGGCGTCACAGTGTACATTCTGCCTGCTGGAATAGGAAATGCCAGATGCCAGATCTTTGAAAGGCAAATTGAGCAGAATGGAGGACAGACAGAGAGAGCGCTGTCTCCCGGTGTCACCCATGTTGTTGTGGATGACAGCATGGACAGTGACAGGGCGTTGCGATTACTTAAAGTGGATTGTATGCCCTCTGGAGTCCAACTGGTGAAATGCATTTGGTTGAGCTCGTGCATCACTCAGAAACAACTGCTGGATGTTGACAGCTACAGCCTTCTTTTACCCAAGAGGTAAATAATCTTATTGAACTTTTTTAATGCTTAACTGCATCTTGATTTTACTATGTTTCCAGTTTATCACATACATCGTTTTTTGCAGAAGAGAAAGCCATAAATGTGAATCCACTTTTGAATTGTACGTCACAGTTATTTATTTATTTATTTATTTGACCGGGACAGTGCACATTGATTGACATTACTGTAAACGCGCCAACAGGCTATTTTTCATCTGTAGTCCCTGGACAGATGGACAGATGTTGAAACTACTTAAAGGGAAAATTAAGCGCAGAATTCTAAAGTACATATATTTTATTTAGCTTGTAGTGCTTTGTATCAATCTAAATTGTAATATGTTAAGTTGCAGAGTCTTAAATTCCAGCCATAAAGATGTCTGCCTTCTCTCGAATAAAATGGAATTAATTGGCATTTGGCTTGTGGTTTTCAAAGCGCCCAAAAAATACATTTGGAAAACTCAACAACAATTTGTCATTTCATTAATTCTGAGTGTTTTACTCAAGATAATCCACAGATCTTGTTGCGAGCAGTTTTATATAGGAACTATTTTCTTTCTATTGACCTACTCTACTACTACTGTTCGGCTGTCCCTTTCAAAACGAAGCATTTCCACAAGTCCTTTGAAATGAAACGCCATACATATGTTTGAAAATGCAACGAGTTGTCAGTCATAAAATCTCTTTTAATGTTCTCCCCACTTAGGCAATCTGAAACAAAGAATGAAAACATTGAAGAAGAGCTGCCAGATGTCCAGCCGACTGCAAACGCTATTGTTGAGCCAACGTCTGATCACAGCAAGCAAGAGGAGACCTTAGACATGGTAGGTATCCTGCTCCTGTGTACAGCTTTTGCAGGTTTTGCAGTCTGTAATCATTTTGTACCATAGGGAACAAAAGCTTGACATTGAATACATAAAAACAACACGTCTGTGTTTGTTATAGTTAGGGCTGCACGATTTTGAGTAAATTATATTTATTTGAAAACATTTTCTCATTTTCATTCAGTATTATAAAAAAGATCATCTTGTGATTTTCTTTTAAGATGATCTCTACCAAACACAGATTCTTTTTTATTAAAAGGGCCATTTTATGGTTTTTAGGTTTTTCCCTTTCCTGTAGTGTATTATATAAGTTTTTGTGCATGTAAATGGTCTGCAATGGCTAAACTACCAAAGTTCCCTCCAGAGGCATGAAAACGCCTCTAGTATTGTCCTTCATTTCTTCCGCAACATAGTGACATCACTAGGTAACACTCAAGCTTCTATAGACTAGGGCTCCAACACATTCTACGTGATGGGCTAATGTGCGGGTCATCTCTAAGCGATTGACCAAGTACAAAAGAGCCAGCCAGCTAACCAATCAGAGCAGACTGGGCTCTGGTTTCAGACAGAGGGTAAAAAGAGGTGCTGCAGCACAGGCAGCATTAAAGCATGGAGACATGTCACAGTAGAGACACTAAATATGAACTTAAAAATGAGTATAATAGGGTCTATTTAAGTCTGTAGAATACTGTTTAGCATTGACCTCTCTGCAGCACCACAATACTTTATTAAGAATGTATTTTTCACATATTTAGCATTTACCAAATATTGCACCAATTGCCATTTGGATATTGCACTATTCCATATTGCAATTTTGATAACATAACCTTCATATTTTACTCTCAGGCAGTCCTAGGCACTCAAGAGGAAGTGCGCGGAGAAGAAGACGGGGTCTCTCAGAGTGACCTGGAAGCTCTTATCACTGGTCAGACCCCCCAAGAGGAGACTCCTGGCCCCAGCCTGGAGCCCGCTACAGACTCTGCTGCTCAGAGCGTCGTCCCAGGGAAGTGGGTCTGTGCCCAGTCTTCTCAGTCCAAAAGTAATAACTTCAACAAGGACATCACGGACAAACTGGAAGTGCTGGCCAAGGCCTACACTCACCAGGGGGACAAGTGGAGGGCACTGAGCTACTCCAAGGCTGTCAACGCTCTGAAGAGTTACCACAAGCCCATAACATCCCATCAGGTAGCCTGAAAGCCTTTTGTTGGTAGTGTCTGGACTGTGTGTGTAGCAAGTGCTTTTAATTTGATGACGGGCAAGTATAAATATTATTCTAATGCACAATAGGAAGATTGACCTTTTTTAATTTGTTTTAGGAGGCTTGCCAGATCCAAGGAATTGGAAAACGCATGGCCGACAAAATCGATGAGATCATGGAAAGCGGTCACCTGCGGAAGCTAGACCACCTCGGGGATGCTGTGCCAGTGTTGGAGCTTTTTACTAACATCTGGGGTGCAGGGACTAAAACTGCACAGCTGTGGTACCAACTGGTAAGACAGACATATAACCTGATTTAGAAAATCTTCTTGCTGATTTATATTCCCTATATTGAAATTACTTTATTGCATATTTTGTCGCGTATCTGCTGTCTGACAATTAACAAGAAACTGCACTGCAGGGAAACCATACATGAAGGATTAATAGAAACGTTTATTTTCTAACTAAAAAGTCCCCTTAGTGCTAATCTTGCTTAAATGTTCAAGGGCATTGTTACAGGCCAAAATGTTGTCTGTTGAAATAAATAATCAGTTGCTGTATTGTGTGCTGCGTTTGTGCAGTTTTAGACACAGTAATCGTTGTCCAGAGCAGACCAACCCCAACCGATTAGAAACCCCTTGTGAGAGTTGTTTAACATCATTTCGAAGCAATCCCTAGTGCAGTTAAAATGCAATGAGAATATACACCGACCCAATGTTTTTGGTTCTGCCAAAACATAGGGATTATAGGCTGCCTACGCAGGCATTTGTTGAGATCAAGACAGATTAACAACCAATGCTTGTTTGACATCTCGCCTGAAGATAACATGTAGAATATACTAAATGAATTCCATAAAAATAGTGACGTTTGTAGACGCAGGGTTTTCACTGTTTCTGTGTATAATTTTCTAATGCAACATTTTCAACCAATAAGAAAGGCTTCTGAAAGTACATGTCCTGGTCCGCCTCCTATGTACATGCCCCTTGAGTATCAATTTCCTTCAGATTTGGAGTAGACAAACAGACCATGGCTTGTGAAAGCGCCCATAAGAGAACCTTAAATAAAATATAAGTTATCCTTTCTAAAATGTTTGTTTATACATGTCGGATGCATTGAATAATATGTTAATATATATGTTAATATAATTATCTGATTTTCTCACATATCAACTGAAGTATCATCCTTAAAAATATAATTTGTTGGGCTGTGAATCCCTATAAAAAAACAAAGAAACTATGAAAAACATTTGCGTTCTTCATCAAAATCATCAAGGAATTGTAGTTAGGCTGTGAACTAAAATATGTTATCATAATTAAGTGCATAATAGAGAAAAGAACGACACAGGAGACACATTTCTATTATATAACATGCTTTTTTCTTTTAAGATTTATTTAAAATGTTTTTTCCTTTTAGGGATTTCGCACACTGGTGGACATCCGCACAAAAGCCCACCTGAGCACCACTCAGAAAATAGGACTCAAGCACTACGATGATTTTCTGGACCGAATGCCCAGAGAAGAAGCAGCTGCCATAGAGAAAGTGGTAATGCATCTTCATCTGTCGCAATATTTACATATATCATTCTGTATAAAAGACTCAAATATGCCTGCATCTTTCACCACTTTGAATATGTAACATGAGGTGAGATATCTCTGAAAAAAGATTCCCCCTCTAGCCCTCAGTAATTTGGAAGGAGATGCTGGAAGTAGAAAAACGGTTGTGTCAGCTTTCCTTGACTGCTTGATAATGGGAAAACCAGACTGTGCTCTCACAGAGTGGAGCATCCCAAAGGGGAAAACTACTCCTTAAAAGTAGCCGCATCTTACGTTAGCCAGATACCTGTTCACTCCAGGGCGCTGAGTACAAGACTAGTTGTTTTCATATTGTATTACTTATTTTTCCTTGAAAGCTGCCAGATAGAAAGTGCACATTAGATAGATGACTAAAGCAGGTGTATTCCCTCCGGCTTGTCAAAAAAATGATGTGCTGGTTCAGCAAACCTACCTCCCAGGATAAGGCTAAAAAGCGTACTTGTAAGAGTAAAGAACATATCCAAATATTTGAAAAAAATCCTCCATCATACTCGGAAAGACGATAGCCTATATTCTCTGTCTTTTAATGTGCAGGTGAAGGATGCTGTCCATGCAGTAGACCCAGGCCTGTTATCGATGGCGTGTGGCTCCTACCGTCGGGGAAAAGCCACGTGTGGAGATGTTGACGTACTTATAACTCACCCTGATGGCAAATCTCACAAAGGGGTTTTCAGCAAACTGTTGCAGAGCCTCCGTGACAGTGGTAAGCTCCATCTTCTTTAGGTGTTAAAGGTCCCCTATTACACTGTTTTTCATCAATATATTATAGGTCTCAGATATATACAAAACATGTCTCTGAAGTGTTTGGCTCCAAATACCAAACAGTTCATGCATTGTAGCATCCCATAATCCCCTCTGTTTCAAAAGTGCTGATTCTGTGTCTGTTACTTTAGATGAAAATAAGGAGCCCCTCCCCACGCCCCTCTGAGAGATATTTGGTTAAAGAAAACACAATGGTGCTCTAGGAGGAGATTCAGGTGATAAGGTGGGGGGGGGTTACCTTGGTTGGTGATTGGCTAATGGTTACACAAGCCAAATAAACGTTATGACATCATAAAGTGGCCAAAATCTAATCAGCTCATTTTCAGACAGGTTTTTATATAAATGGATCAGGACAAAAAGAGAGAATCTTTTTTTCCTGAAACTTTCAGAATCTCTTAACGCAGAGGGGACGCATGTTTATGTATAAAAGACATGAAAAAGAGGACTTTGCATAATAGGTGACCTTCAAAAACCGCCTGATGTCTTTCTAAGATGTTTTCTTTCCTAAAGAGAAACCTTAATAATAAACGTTATTTCTAAGGGTTTTTGACGGACGACCTGGTGAGCCACGAGGACAACGGAGAGCAGAAGAAGTACATGGGCGTGTGCCGTTTGCCAGACCACCGCCATCGCAGGCTGGACATCATCGTCGTGCCCTACAACGAGTTTGCGTGTGCTATCATGTATTTCACCGGGTCGGCACACTTCAACCGCTCAATGAGAGCCATGGCAAAGACAAAAAGAATGAGCTTATCGGAACACTCGCTGAACAAAGATGTGGTGCGTCAGGGTAGCTTAAAGGTGTTTGGCGGCACTCCGTTCACTACAAAGACAGAGAAGGATGTTTTTAGTATTTTAGGCATACCATACAGAGAGCCCCATGAAAGGGACTGGTGAGGTTTCCCCAATCACACTGTTTTGTCTGTTTTTAAAGAATAATCATGATGATGAATGATGACAAACTGCAATTATGGCCAAACAACTATTTTTAAGAATGTTTTACTGCTGAACTTATCATGCATGAGCCCTGTTTTACTTAAATACCATTTTATTCTACAATTGAATTGATACGTACCATTTAATCATAAGAACTACCTTTTTTCTTACACTCAACCCTAATTGTATCTTTTCTTCCAGATTGTTTAAGGGATGTGTACCAAAGTTTTGAGATATCCATCTCTGAAACTCCTACTGACACGCCATTACAAACAAATATTGGGAATTTTGCTGTAGGGTCCAGAAAAAGTCCAAAATATTTTTAATTGTATTCTTAAGGAAGGTTTCTTACGTGTATTATTCACAGTGTAGAAGGTAGCTGAATTAAGCTGACTAAACAGGAACACTATGAAAAATAAATGTTGCTTTGAAGTTTAATCAATGTTAAATTGTAAAACTTCTATTATTCAAGGCTGACATCAAAGGTTTTAAAGGTGAATATATAAGCAATTCAACAGGTTAATCAAAAAGCTGTGTGCAGGCCTGGATACAACTTGAGGTGAATATAAATGTATATATATATGATTTTGCAAGTTGATTAAATGTGTCTTTTAAAGTCATTTTAACATATATGCTTGATACTTTGTATTTAAAAAAATAAAAAAAGTGGGTTATGGTAATAAAAAAAAGGGAATTGAAAATATCTTCCTGTGTCTTGCTTTCAGAACTGCACAATAGAATGTTTTATGTTTACAAGCTTTAGTCTGAAACGACAAGACAGTTCTAGCTGCAGTATTTACTGGCTTGTACTTTTGTGACATTCTATGTAACTTGACCGGCGTTTGGTACAATCAAAAACTTCTCTAGTCATTTTTACATTGAATATGGCCTCATAAGGGGGGATACCACATTTAAAAAGTCATGAGGAAATAAATAACTTTCCCCATAAACTGGAGAAGGGGCACCCAGAAAGACAACAAGGCCATGCACTGGAGACGCACCGGTCCCTGATTGGTCAGTCTCTCCCCAGCTGGCCTTTGCTGTCCAATCACGATTCAGTCCGCAAAACCGGTGGCGATCCACGCAACCGCACGCGCATCACGTTGTGCACTGCACATGGATCGGGTCGAGGTTACCACGCCACACCCAGCGGACCGAGGCGGAGTGGCTGTGCTGAACTGTATCCGCCAGTAGCACCCACACAGCCAGCGCCAGCTCCGAGTGAGATGTCCAGAGGAGGCGGCGCGTCCAGCGGCCTCTCAGCGCCACAGGGGCCGCGAAACAGTTGAACATATTCGGGCATAGTTTGCGAACAACACTGTTTGCGTGCGTATATTTTTGTCGGAGCTGTAGCCACTTTTTTTGGAGGAATGAGAGGCGTATGTCCGGCTCTCAACATGGGATTGTTTTTGCACGCTGTTGGCTCTGTCACCCCCACCGAGTCCGCAGCAGACAGGGTAAGACTGAGCAGTCAAAAACAAGGCTCTCTCTCAGGGCTGTTAGCTAGCTAGTTATCCGGCTAACTTAGCAAACTGGAAAACTTTATATTAACTGGCTTATAAAACAACATGTCAAGTCAGTATAGCAACATAGTGTTTCTGTTTTCATTCTATATTGACTTTCTTTCACTTATAGTGTGCTGTCAAGAAAGATATTCGCATGCTTGTTGACTTCGTCTGCTAGCTGCGATAGCTAACCCAGTTAGCATAGTTAAAGTGAAGGGACGCTCGAGTCAGGGCCCTGCTGTGTCTTGTTTATGGTAAAGGCAGGGTTTGACATTTCAGTCAGAAGTGTGTTCCAAATAAAAATAAAAGCAGTTCTACAGGTATGGAAGTGGCCACACAGGTAGACATAACAAATAGCATTGACTGGTACATGTATTGATTACTGCCATCTAAAAAGAAAATAGTTCTAATATTATAGCAATTTATTTTATAAGATAATAAAATATGTTATTGGCAGTGTGTTGACAATGACGTTGTTAAAATAAGTTGACCCAGTCATGTCATCAAGCAGATTTATTATTTATACAACTGTTTTAAATACAAGAATAACTGTATTATTATGTGTTAGTGTTATCGTATGTAGAACATAATTTGAAGTACAGTCTCCATACATTCTCCTGTCTTTTTTATTATAATAGTCACCTAGGCAGATAATGATATGCTGTTAAATAATTCATGTTGATTAATAGGGGATAAGAGTTACCTTTTTTAAACTTCTGAATCGATATTCTTAGGGTTTCTTCCTTACAGCTAAACTTGTATTGTAACCTGGTGTTATTTCCTGTTTAGTACATTCACATTGCAACTTCTGAGGAGGTAGACATTAGTAGTGAGCTTCAGATTATTGTCAAAAACAAACCTACCTGCCAAGAGGGATATTTGTTTTACATTCTCAATTTTTGCAGTCTTACCCTGCTTTTGTTTTGGAGAAATGCTGTGGTTGCAATAATACACATTGTTGTGTTTCTTATGGCGTCCCTTGTGCATGCACAATATATATAACATAGAGTATATTTAGTCATGCAATTGTCCTTGGTCTTGTGACTTTTCAGTAAACATTTTAAAGGCGTTGACATTGCTCTGAGAGAAGCAGTTTGATTTGTAGTGTTATTTCAGGACAAACATTAGTACAAATGATGCCTTCAAGAAGTATGTTATTTGTTCATGTATGAAAGACTCATGGCCCTTAGGAGACCATTTCAATCACATGGCCCTGAGCTATATCTTCTATTTGAATTCATCCAAAAACAGAGGCAGCTATATTTTTTCTGTCACAGTATTTTGGTAACCTGTTATCGTCAGTTATTATGATTAACACTCAGATCTGTTTTCATCACCAGTTTACAGCAAAAAGGCAAACGATTTCTTCTAGTTTGCATCATTTCTGTAATCTGTCAAAAATGTGTACCTTCCACTGATCGATTTGAAACGTGATGTATTCAAGAGCTGGAGTCTCAAAAGCTTTACAAGTGTTTTTGTTTCTTTACACAGCTTATCATAGCACCTAGAATAAGAAACAAAAGTTGTCAGTTACTTTTTTCACATGACATCATGGGGTAAAAAAAAGCTGGGGTCTTGTCAGCATCCTCCACACACACATCTTAAATGTATAAATACAGTGTTTTGTTTTGGGGGGAAAAGGACCGTTATTAATTTCTTTTTTTATTATTACTTACTTGCAGGTATTAACATAGCAAGTTATCAATCTCATGAACTTTATCATACCTGCCACTTTAATATATTAACTGTGTAACCAAAATAAGACTTATAATCATGATACTACCATCATTTCTGAAGCCATTGTCAAATGTCATGTTTTTACATCAGTGCATTTCTAACAATGTTCCTTAGAGACACCTCTAGTTGACGGCAACATGTTTGTGTCCCAGTTTGATTATAGTCCTTGAATAGTACCAGCTACAGTAAGTGTAATCTTGTATTCTAAAGTCCTGGCAAAGTATGTTCTGACTTGTAGGTAGAATGTAGCTACTTGTTTGTTCAACTGAACTCCTCAGCTATGTGGGATAGTATTGCATTTCAGGGACAGTTCACACAAACAAATGCATACTTTTTTCTTTTACCTGTCAATCTAGATTGTTTTTAGAATTTAGGGATTTGAGAAATCTCCCAACTAGGCTCTTGCTGGTGACAGTGCCAGATGTAAACAGCTGTAACGTTAGCCAACTCAGTAGGGCTAGGTGAGCTAGCATTAGCTTCATTCTCCGCGTTGATACATTGGCCGGTGTTGTTCGTTAGAGAGAAAGTAGTTCCTCTATGAACCTGTGCACAACATGCCTTTTGGATTATCTGAGTAACCGGGCCTTAATTTCTAAGAGACATTGCTGTCGAGTACTACTTCCTTTTTCTCCCTTTTCTTTTAGAGAAGGTAAAAATGTCTACGACTAATACCTCCAAAACAATTTAGATTGATAAATAGCTCTTTAAGTAAGAGGGAAAATAGGTGTTTTACATTTTTGGGTTGAACTAGCCCTTTAAAGGCTGTTTGGAACGTATCAGTGGTGTTGTTACATCCATGACCTTGATGACTATAAAAAGCGCATTTCTTTGTTGCAAGACAGAATAATAAATAAGGGGTCGGCAAGGTCTTTATGTGCATCAGCTAACTTGCCAAGTCCCTACAGGCCTGTATTAAGTGGATCAACTCAGAATTAACTCAGAACTGTACCCTCTTAACTCCAGTGACTGTAATCGATAGCCGTTCTCACTGTCTGCTCATTTCAGCAGCTTCTCATTAATAAGGATTATTATTTTCTAACGCAGCGATCATTTCTGGGACGGAAACCAAATCCAACTTTAATCTTGTAGCGTAGCGTAGCATGAGAGAGTGGATTGTTGCCTGTTTGGATGATAGACAGAGGAATCTAGTCTCTCCAGATTCTTTGCTCAGTCACTGTCTCCTATAAGATAAAGGTTACAGGGATAGTCTCAGATGAGCCGCATTTTTTTCAGGTTAAGGCTTGATTGACGTCCCATCCCGCAATTTAACGCGCTGAGTGACATGCATGTCAAAGATTAGATGGAGCACTTTTTCTCCACGAAAGGCCTGTTTACGAAGCCCCCCCCGACCCACTTCAGTGCTCTGCTATCTTTATGCGGCACAGGCTGAAGACCCAAACAAACTAGATCTGTATCCAATTCCAAAAAGGGCTCAGCCTGCCAAGTGGGGAGCATATGGTGGGGAGTAGTGAGTCAGTGGAAACAGCTGAAGTTATCAGAGGAACAGAACATTATGTGTTTATTACACAGACAATTAAATCCCTCCGTGTTGGGGGTGTTTTTTTTGATAAAATGTCATGTTGATAAGGTTGAAACAGCTGTTGAGAGAACTTTTGAAGGTTGCGTCCACATTTAATGTCAGCAGTTTAGATTGTGCTGATCCAGCGTGTGACGAATCATTCCCGCGTTACCTACCGCTCTGTGTCTGGATTTCACTCTGCTTTTCTCTCGCCCGTTCTCCCCAGGCCTCACACTTTAAAACACACACCTCTCAGCACCCTGTACGCCTTATTATCATGCCCAGCTAGGAGCTCGCCCTCCGCTGCTGCTTGGAAATTTCCGTAGAGCAATCCTTGTCCATTGTTTGGGGTGAGGGAGTGTGTGTGTGGGGTGGACAGAGGGAAGAAAAAAAGATAGAGAGGGAGGCAGGGACTGGGAGAATGAGAGTATGTGTGTGAGTTTCTTTTGAGGGATAATGACCCATGAGGTTGGAGGGACTTGTCTGGGATTTTTGGAACCTGGATCCTCATCGGCATGCATCGCAATCTGGGACCTGCACTGGTAATCTGCAGGGATCAAACCTATCCTTCTCTAGATCTTGGGCTAGCTAATCATTAAGCTCATTTAGAAGAAAACATCTGAGGGATCTAGCTGGAAAACCCCATTTGAACGGATTTTGATTACTCCCTTGTCTTCTGGCACTATGGGAATCATCGGATCTGATTATCCTCCTCAGTCAGGTTCGCTTTTGATCATTTCATTGACACTAGACAAATACCTTATTGGTTTTGGATTAAAGTTGACTCTTGTGCCTCTTTTAGGCCTCAGCTAAATCTTTTCAAGTTGAGTTTGTGTCTCAGATCTTGGGCAACATACTGAGAGGTTTTCACTGGCTGCCGTTCAGAAGTTTGCACTTGATATGTATCTTAAACACTGGTGAAATTCAAGCACCTTGTTTACTCCAGAGCTAAGTTTAAATGTGGCTACAAGATATGTCTGCAGTGTTATCATTCTAAATCAAATATCAGGGCTAGGCATGTAAGACATGCTTTTTCCAGGGTTCTTTTCACCACCGTTCCCAAATATTTGTGTTCTTTCTTTCAGCTTTGAGTCCTGCTTCTCTTTCCCTTAGTGAATTGTTGTGTGGGAAAGTGTTGTACATCAAAAGAAAGTATGCAAATACATCATACTACCTAAAACCTGTTTAGAAATGTGCATTCTCTTTATACAACTGGAACATGGGCTGCTTAGCAACAAGGGTTTAGGTATTTGACTTAGAATACACATTTCAATATAATTGCATGAAGCTATATTCTAAAATTGTCTAAAAAAACGGAAATGTATCTTTAAAGTTCAGAACAAACAACAAAAACGTACAAACATGACTTCTTATGTAGCTTCTGAGCAGGTGAAATGTTCTGCAGATTATCTTTTATTTTTGCTTGCTTAATGCAGATCATTTTATCTTTTTGTTTCGGCAATAAATAGTTTTCCAAACAGAGCAAAACATGGCACAAATGTAATTTCACACTGTGTGTCAAGGAATACAAACATGAATCATTGTGGGGGGGTTCTGTTATTTTTAATTTATTGGCACAGCTCACTGTAACCAGATTACTTAAGATTATGTTTCTTTAAGGTTGTTTTCTTTAGTAGAGATTTTGATAACACTTTCCTTTTAAAGGGACACTGCTCCTCTCTTGCAGAGCCTACTGCACTGTGAAGGTGTGAACAACCAGAGCTACGTCTGTGAGTCCGGACACTGCTGCGGGGAGTCCCTGTGCTGCAGCTACTACTATGAGCTCTGGTGTAAGTATCCTGCTTAAGATATACATACCCCTTGTCACTTTCTCGCAAAACCCCTCCACTATTGAGGGATTGACAGGCCTGGGATATTTAGCTACCTCAATAATTCTGTTGTTGCCGAAACATCTCAGCACCCCTGAGGATTATTAGTAATAACAAATACATTTAGATTTATTTTAAGTATGGGCGTGTTTTGGATTCTCCAACATTTTTCAAGAACTTTATTGTTATTATGAAAGCACAACCACATTGGAGTTGGGACAGCCTCAAATGGTACATATAATTAAAAAAAGAAACACATGGAATAGATAAGGCATGGATTGGCCAATATAACAACATTTTAGCATTATAAGGGTAACATATCCATAAATTCCAGGAAAAAAAGTGTAATATATTAGCAGCAGCAAAAGTTACAGCCAAGCATCGGTCCAGTTCACCAAACCGACATTGGGACAAATCTCATCTGGACAACATTGGTCAGTTTCTAGGAATTCTTTTTTTCCCCCTCATTCCACAACCCATGTGCCTGTGGTACCCCATCCCCTGCAGGACACTGGTCTGTGTTACAGAGTACATGTTGAGATCAGGGAGTCCTCTCCGGGCCAGTGTCATCTACATGACTCCACAACACCAACCTGTGAGAGGTGTCATGTTCGATGTTCAAGAGTCTGACTGCCGAGAACTGGGGCGTGACTGACTGCCAGCACAACAAGTAACTGCACTACTGATCTACTAACAAAATTCTGAATGAACACTTGTGTCCCCACCTTCACTGGCAACATTTCCCTGAGGTTCAAGGGCAGACTTTGGAAAGGCGCTCGCTTAAAGGCCAGCTCAGATGGACATTTGGACTCAACACTGCTCCTTTAGATCAAATGTCACATTTCTCAGACGGCAAAAGGGTGATATCAGACGCTCGACTGAAGGGCAGGATGTTCCTCACAGCGGGGACTGCCTTCAGGCGGGTGAAAAATACATACCAACCATAAATTAGTAACATTCAAACTAATTTGACAACATTTTGTGAACCTGCATTCTAAACCATTTGTAAGCTATGTCATATTACCTTTTTTCAGATTCAGCTGATAGAGCATCAGAGCTTCCGGAATTTGACAAAGACTACGTAGAAAATGTCCAAAAATGTTCATTTTTTTACAAATTCTTCTTAGATTGGAGTTTTTTTTGTGCAAAAAGTAAAGAACCTTAAGTTTAAAATAATTAATAATGTAAAGATATCTTTCTTGGGATTACCATAAAATAGTGATGGTAGGAGTCCCTGGGTTATTGAAACACAAAAAATGTAACGTAAATGAAATTATTACATTTTTTGAAACATGTTAAATGTACTTTTTGATTCAAGGTATGTTATGTTTCAGCTAAACCTCCTTTCCACTCTGAAAAATGTTTACATGTGATATAATGTAATGATACGTGTATATGCAGTATTAAATGTATTACTTTACACAGATTCTGCTTGGAAAATATTCAATAAATGTCTGTGATAATGTAGCCGCATTATTTCCACAAGGTGGGCATGACATAAGATGTTTGATATGCTCAGACATGATGTCTGTCTGGGCTCCATCCATGTTTCTGACCTGACCCTGTAACCTTTTTAAATCGTCTGCTCCAAATCTTCCATGACAGTTTCTTCTGGCTTTCATTGATGTCATGAGGCTTAGGAACAGGCATTAATGATGGCATATGGGCAGTACTTGCAGTCAGGATATAATGGTTTTAACTTAAGGGCTGGAATCCTTGTTTACACACACTACAGAAACATGTTTTCTACAAGATAACCCTACTTACCTTATTAGATAAGACTTTTAAAAAAAGGGCGTGAGAAATGCACTTGTGATGATTTAACGCAGATTATTTCATACGTTCCTGTTGCTTTAAAAGTCACCATGGGTTTATGTGCTTAGTTAACACAAATATGGCATACATGTATTTACTGTACATGCCACTATATAAGCTTGGAACCACCAACATAGAAAATCATATTTTAGCCTTTGGTCGTTGCCTGTTTTCAGAGAAAAAAATTCACATGTAAGATAATATAACGTGTTGCTGCATGATTTGCAAAGTGTCATGCTTCCTCCTGCAGTAGAGGCTGGAGTTTAGATGGTACAGTTTTCTTGTTTGTTGAAAATAATAATAATCACCTACAATGTGTTGTAGCGCTAGCCAATAGAAGCGCAAGTGTACATAGGGATGTCACTATTTCGTGGAAATAAACAAAGAAGTCCAATGGAGGCGTTTCAGGCAGAGGGGGGAGTGTGTGGGAGAGCATTTACATGCTCAAAACCTACATAACCTATATAAAGGGAACAAAAATGATAATAGAGCCCCTATAAACAATGAAATTGTGCTGGGATGTGGTATTCATAATTGATATACCCAAATAATAACTGCGTGTACAAAAGATATTTCTGTTTTATTTATTTTGTCTTTATTTATTTCAACATTCACAATCAGAGTTTAGTGCGTGTCTAATATCTGTGGTTGCTCCACAGAGTAAACAGTGTCTTGTTGTGGAGATAAGTACGGACTTGGACCTCTTGATGATCGAATTGATTATATGACGTCAAATTCCTAATGCAATACATAAGTTTACAAGCACGTAAATGTTTCACTATTATAACCAGAGGTTGGTTGTATTGGATCTGTTTGTGTTCCCCATGATATACAGCGTACCATTCAAAGCCGTGTGATTTATTCTGAGTCTAGCGATCGTGATTTCCTCCCTTCTGTTTCTTTCTTTATAAATATGAATTGTAATTGTCTTTTGTACTTTGTGATAGTCTTTGCCTTTCTGGTCTTTCTCCCACCTTTTCTGCCAGATCTCCATCCCTTTTTTCTTTAGCCAGTGTTCTTGTTTTCCATGTGCTCAATAAAGTGTCTTTAACCTGTTAAGCCCTGAGCCTGTTTTTCAGCTTTCAGGCTCGAAAATGCCACTTACACAACAAAGACTATATCTTCACTTCTAAAAGGGGGAAATTAATAATCTTTTTTCTCAAAGCAAGGTTACATCTGTGAGTTGGATGAAGAAGTGTCAGAAATCAATATAGATGTTTTTATTTTTAAAATAAATTCATATGGAACATAGTAAAAACATGTAAATTCTATCTCCGCCTAAAAAAAACCCATTACAGATAGTGAAAACCACCCTTGGATGATGGGTTAGACTAAAAGCTTTAGGAATCCAAAGTACAAAATATAATAAGTACCCTGTATCAAGATTGATGCAAAACAAGATACATTTGACCTTTTTAGAGAGATTTAGAAAAATAAAGTCTAGGCGGACTCACCTCTGGGTAATTTGGGAACCATCAGTTCCATTTGACCTTTTTCACTGTAAAAATCATTTTATTACTTTGAATTATCACTATAGGTATTCATTCCATCCAAATACAACTGTTGTAAAAAAAAAATAAAAAAATAAAAAAAATATACAAAATGAAGTTTGACTCCAACTGGAGCAGATTTATTTAAAACTTTACAATTTAGCATGCCATTCCTCGTAACAATTTTTTTTGGAAGTGAAGCACAGAGGGACCTCACACTTTCTGCAGTACACAGCTGTCTTCACCTTCTTTTTGCCAGCATCATGGCAGTTCCTGCAGTTCTTCCTGATCCGGACATCTTTCCCATAAAACTTGGGCCCGCATGCGAGTGGTGGTGGGGGTGGTGGGGGTGGAGGTGTTCCAAATTCCAACATTTCTGCAGCAAGCTGCTCCCTGAAAGTCTTCTGTGTGTGTGGCTTTGTCCTGCTGGGGTCACTCGTCATCTTGTGCAGCTCCTTGTGGAATCACCTGGGAAATTGAAGTTATATGGCCATTTCTTCCTCCAGTAGTCCGATCGGTTGGGAACGGTGACGAGGCCTGAGAAAATTATAATGGACAGGAAAACATAGAAATCCCTCACAGTCAGCATTTTCCAAACATGCTTCTTTCCAGCCTGCAGTCTTTTCAGGGCGTTGGCGTTCGTGTTGGAAATGATTGTATGAACCACTGAAGCGCTAAAAAAAAGTCTGAAAATGGAGAGGGGAGACCATGCTACAGTGGAGTCGAGCGCTGGGCCTGGGACCCTGGCTGGTGTGAAATTCAGTGGCTCTGGTGTTTGGTCATTCTCCTCTCTGTTGTGCCACCCGAGTTCTTCTTCTGTCATTCTGGAAGAGGAAGAACCTTGGCCACGCTTCCTGCGTTTTACACATTTATCTGATGCTTTTCCTTTTCCTGGCTGAGGAGCGGGAGCCCCACCTCGGCCACGCTTCCTTTGGTTTACAGATGCATCTGACGCTGCAGAAAGCTGGTAGAAACCAGACGATGGTAAGTGAGTGCTTTTTGGATGCAGGCTGAGTGGCCAATACTGGTGCAGATCTCTTTCTGGAGGAATGTGATGGTGAGGCAGGTGTGGCAGGTGTGGTCTGGGTGAAAGTAGGCAGTGGTGAAGCCATTGCATCCTCATCTCCATCACTATGAAAAGAAATGTGGAAAAACAAAGAGATTAGATTAATTCCTGTAATTCCTGTTTCCTTGGCAGTAAACATGCCATTTTGAGTGTGTGAATGAAACACATTTAGTGACTATAGAGCCATTTCATCCCCATCACTTTGAAAAGAAACACTTTTTTTTTTTAGATAATGTCTCAGGGCTTCTTAAATTTATGAAACTATTAATGTGTAGCACCAGATTAACGGTAATAATCTCAGCTAACTGAAGATGTGAACCATTTTTAGCTAAAAGAAACACAAGAGTAATACCAAGCCTTAGAATTAGCATTTTGCGAAAAAATGCTAACTAATGCTAACGGAGTTTTGCACAGCACTCACTCTCAAAATGCCCTTATTACTTATCGTAACTGCACAAACAAGATATCCGATTAAAGCTGAGACTCCACATATTCCATACATGTAGTGTCATCACTGTACGACCCCGAATTTGCGGAGCTTTCAGCCAGAAAAGAGAAAGTAAACAACATCCGGTTTCAAAAATATTACAATAATTACATCTTACCTTTTTTGATTTGTGATCAAAAGTTGTGTTCAACGGAATAAAAACGCTGCTCAAGGTTAATCCAATGTGTCTGTGTCACGTAGAATTTTTTACTGATAATACATCATCATATTTATGGCAATAAACTGGGTATAAAGTTTTGCAGTCAAGGCTTGTACTTTCAGATGTGCTTCGTTTGTTTCTCTATTACCTCTTAATTATTTATTAACTATATGAATAATCGTACACCAAATAACTAAGTAATAGATAAAAACAGAGAGATTACATACCTTTCCCGTGGTGGAATTTCATCATCAGAGTCACAACGCTCCGGGTTCCGTTCGGGCTGCAAGAGGTCCTCGTCGTCTGACTCAGAATCAACAGGTAACATGTCTGCATCGCTGTCAGCATTAGTCACCATTTCCATTGCCTGTAAAGTCGTAAGCATCTCTTTCCTGCAAGCCATTATTACAAGTATAGAGCAAGTATAGCAAAAGTCCTAAACGCCAATCTTGTAGTCTGCTCCGTTATCTGCTGTCCGCTCTGTGCGCTCTGGGTCCTGCTGCAATTCCTCTTCTTTACGTAGTAAACACTGCGTAGAGTCTGCTGCGTAATGTGTGTGCCGCTGGCATTCACAATTTATACTTTACGCAGGACCATATCTATGGAACCCATTGGTCGATTTGAGTGATTTACACCTTTTTCTTAACCATTAGATCCAATAGAATCCGATGGGCAGTTCCAAAATCTACGTAAACATTACCATTGCGGAGGTAATAGAGAAACAAAGGAAGCACATCTGAAAGTACAAGCCTTGACTGCAAAACTTTATACCCAGTTTATTGCCATAAATATGATGAAAAAGAAGAGGAATTGCAGCAGGACCCAGAGTGCACAGAGCGGACAGCAGATAACGGAGCAGACTACAAGATTGGCGTTTAGGACTTTTGCTATACTTGCTCTATACTTGTAATAATGGCTTGCAGGAAAGAGATGCTTACGACTTTACAGGCAATGGAAATGGTGACTAATGCTGACAGCGATGCAGACATGTTACCTGTTGATTCTGAGTCAGACGACGAGGACCTCTTGCAGCCAGAACGGAACCCGGAGCGTTGTGACTCTGATGATGAAATTCCACCACGGGAAAGGTATGTAATCTCTCTGTTTTTATCTATTACTTAGTTATTTGGTGTACGATTATTCATATAGTTAATAAATAATTAAGAGGTAATAGAGAAACAAACGAAGCACATCTGAAAGTACAAGCCTTGACTGCAAAACTTTATACCCAGTTTATTGCCATAAATATGATGATGTATTATCAGTAAAAAATTCTACGTGACACAGACACATTGGATTAACCTTGAGCAGCGTTTTTATTCCGTTGAACACAACTTTTGATCACAAATCAAAAAAGGTAAGATGTAATTATTGTAATATTTTTGAAACCGGATGTTGTTTACTTTCTCTTTTCTGGCTGAAAGCTCCGCAAATTCGGGGTCGTACAGTGATGACACTACATGTATGGAATATGTGGAGTCTCAGCTTTAATCGGATATCTTGTTTGTGCAGTTACGATAAGTAATAAGGGCATTTTGAGAGTGAGTGCTGTGCAAAACTCCGTTAGCATTAGTTAGCA